TGTGTGTGTGTGTATGTATGTATGTATGTATGTATTGTTTGTATGCCTTTTTCCAATTCCTTATGATTATGATTACTTATTATTTTGTGATTACTGGCTTGTTACTTCTACATGAGGTTTTTACTTGTGTTTGTATGCCTTTTTCCAATTCCTTGTGATTTAATCATTTTATATATTATAATTGTTATATTTGACTTGAGTTATTCATATATTGTAGTGTACATTGATGATGGAATTGGAAATACTGTAAAGTCGAAATTGAATTGAATTGAAAATGTCAACATGATATTGTCAAACAATGAGAACCATTGAACACCAATCAATCAGTCAGTCAGTCGATCAACTTTTATTTCGGACGTAGGTAGCCATTCAGATTCACATTCATCACGGAAACTTGTAACGGGCATAATCGCTCATATCAAAACACCAATTCACATTTCATACAGAATTATTAATATCAATACTATAATACATAACAATTTAAAAGATTAAAAACTGCATATGCAAATTACAGAATATCTTCAATCGATAATGAATAATGCAATAGAAAATGCAATTTAAAAACATTGAATATTTCGACATTCAAGTTAGTGGCGTATCTAAAAGTCTTGAAGTGGGGGTGCTCTTGAGGTATGCGCGAAGGTGAAGTGGGAAACTCGATGATCAGTTGAGGGGCGCTAACTTGCAAAATATGGTGATTTAGGTGTATAAATCTATACAGTAGCTTATTCACTACTGTAAAACAAAATGAACAATCGCACTATATGTTTGCATGTTTGCTTTCATATATGCAGGAAAAAGAATCCGATTTTTCTGATGGGAAAGCCTCTTGAGTCAGTGTGTAATAATAGGAAAGTTACCGTAGTTAAGCGCATCGGAAACGCGGTCCGAATTTCGGTTTGGATCCGAAAATTTGGATTTGGTGCAGAATGCACCTTTAAACGTCTCTTAAATGTATCAAGACACCGCTAGTTAAACTTGCATTCACATTATACTCAAAAACTTCCTTTTTCATATTAGGACTAAACAATTACGATGATATAAATACAGTAATACGGAAATGCATTCAAAACTCCTTTATAATATTATAAATCATTAAACAATTTAAATTTATTTAATTGTTTACTTATTTTAATCAATGGTTGTGTCACTTTCATTTCCTCCACTTTCAGTTAGCTGAACTGATCAAATTGCATTTGTAGTCTAATCTCCTTGTACTGTACTTCAACTTTCTCTGTCATACGTTTTGTGCTTAAATTTTTCCTGTTTTATTTATTGATATTAACGGGTTTTTTTTAAATTTTTAAAATACACAAATAGGAAACTTACCGTAGTTAAGCGCATCGGAAACGCAGTCCGAATTTCGGTTTGGATCCGAAAATTTGGATTTGGTGCAGAATGCACCTTTAAACGTCTCTGAAATGTATCAAGACACCGCTAGTTAAACTTGCATTCACATTATACTCAAAAACTTCCTTTTCATATTAGGACTAAACAATTACGATGATATAAATACAGTAATACGGAAATGCATTCAAAACTCCTTTATAATATTATAAATCATTAAACAATTTAAATTTATTTAATTGTTTACTTATTTTAATCAATGGTTGTGTCACTTTCATTTCCTCTACTTTCAGTTAGCTGAACTGATCAAATTTCCTTGTACTGTACTACAACTTTCTCTGTCATACGTTTTGTGGTTAAATTTTTCCTGTTTTATTTATTGATATTAACGGTTTTTTTTTAATTTTTAAAATACACGCAATCTGGATCTGGTGGGTAAAGCCAAGCTCCCAAGGACTCCAAAAGTGTAGAGAATATAAATAACAGGAGGTTCGGACATAGCATTCCATGGCTACGAATTGTCATTACTTTCGTTTATATGAAATCTCCTGCTGCTAAATCATCTTATTCTCTTTCATTTTATTCTATTGTATTTACGGTGGTACACAGCAAACCAAATTCAATTTTAATATGATATATGACAGGTATTATGGTGAGAAAGTATATTGGGAATAAACAATTTTGAGACAGATTAGTGCAAGTTAACAGTGTGAGAACCGGGAAATATAATAATCAATTGCCTAACTAGAGAAACAAAATTCTTTGGATAATCTTATTAGCTGTTTAAGCTTGGCATGTTTACATGAAAAGCATAATCTTCTTTAAGTAGGAGTATGTTCTTACCTATTGCAAGAATCAATGAGTGTTTGTTATTAATAACTTTCCATAGGGGATCTGAATTACATAATTCATGTTGACATGATTCAGGTTCATATATATTAGGAAATTTCGAAATACCCATTATATGATTAAAACCACCACATTTAGATAAATGGCGAGAATGTGATGGAACGATATCCAGAAAATATGAATTTCTTTGCATTTGTAAGGTATAGCTAGAGAAAATATGTTCTATATTCTCTATGGGTATAGCGTATAGATTTTATTTCTGTGGAATGTAAAATTTACATGCAGATCTATAATTGCAAACAACAGGAAATTATTGCAAAGAGTGACTGAGAGAAAAAAATAAATAACCTAGCGCTGTAATGTGTAACTATCTCTATAGTTTATAGAGATAGTATAGAGGTGTTTTTTTAAAGCATGGAGCTGGTTAATGTAACAAGCAAAAGAAGCATCAAACATAGGCATTGTTTTGGACAGCTTAAAACTGAATTTAAATTATAACTTTAGTGTATATTTTGAAGGTTAAATGAATAAATGAAATGAGTTTAAGTATTACTAATCATTTTTCTGTTTCTTTTTTTCATTTCTGTGTCGAAAGAGGTCGCTCGGGGAATTGCCTAATTACTAGCCTAATGATAAGCAAAACCGGATCTAAATTTCACAATGTTACCAATCAGACACTCTTTCGTTTTTAAAGCAATCGGTGTAAATTATAGTCTACAGAGTTTGGGCAAGACTTTGTTATGGTTTATCGCACCCCGCCGCCACGAGAAAAACTGGAAAAATTATTTATCTATTACGCCCGCCACTGCCTTCTGAAATCTCTAAAAATAAGATATGTAGGGCCTATAGGCCTATTTCTTCCTAATAAATTTAAAGCATTTAACCATCCCATGACTACTCTGTTTACATTTCTCTTCCGTCTTTATGTTTTTGGCAAAATTTGCTAAATAGAAAACAAAATTTTATTTTTATTTTTTCCCGTCCTCTGCTGATGACCTTTAAAAAAATAAGTTTGCGCGGAGCAAGGATGATGAAAAGTTTTTTATACTATCCGCGTATTTCGAAATGTTTGCTAAATCCTACAACCTCTATCTAAATGTCATACAGTATTGTGGACAACTTTCATGGCCGGCGGAACCGGGGGGGGGGGGCTGCTCCCTCACTTTTTGGCAAAAAATATATAATGCCTGGAGATTTTTGTATGATCGGAAAGAAATGTAAGAAAGGAAAGAGGGAAGAAGGAGGAGAAGGATAGGAAAGAGAAAGTTTATCCAGTCTCCGACCGAGTTACATTTTCTCGCAATTCACATTGGCGGATCTCGGGTAGGGGGTCATGGGTCCTTACCCCTCCCTTGAGCAACACAAAAAGGGGAAAAAAGAATTTTAGACCTACCTTTTCGGGACCCGTGAGCTGATTTTTTTTATGTTACAATAAGAAAATTAGAATTTTGAAGAACATAAACGTTAAAAACACACTTCAAATGTCGGGAAAGCTCATTTCCCGCCATCTAGAATCAAAATTTTTCCGTTGGAGAACCCCCGGACCACACTTTCTTTTTGGGAATTATCGATTCATAAAAAAAAAATACGCATGCAACTACTCATTTATTAATGTATGTATACACACATAAAATAAAAAATGAGAAGAATTTACCTGACCGTTTTCAAGAGGGGAAAACCTTGGATTTTTAAGAACATAAAAAGTCATTTAAAAGACATTTCAGAAGTCAGGAAAGCTCATTTCCCGCATTCTAGCAATCGAAATTTTTCCTCGGGAACCCGGACCCCATTTTTCTTTGAGGTTCATTGATTCATTGAATCATTTTCAAGAAGGGGAAAACCTTGAATTTTGAAGAACTCAAAAGTAATTAAAAGAAACCTCAGAAATCGGGAAAGGTCATTTCCCGCCTTCTAGGAATAAAAATTTGGCGGACCGCCTTTCTTTTTGGGAATTATGCATTCATGGACAAAAAAATCGTATGCAACTACTCAATTTTTGTTATGTATGTATACACACATAAGGCCTCTACTGTAATGACAATGGGAAAAATTTACCTGACCGTTTTCAAGAGGACCCCCTCCCCCTTTCTTTTTGGGATTTATTGATTCATTGAAAAAAGAATACCGTATACGTATGCAACTACTCATTTTTTTTTTTAGTGCATGTATAGGCCTACACACATAAGGCCTATTTCCTGTAATAACAATGAGAAAAACTTACCTGACCGTTTTCAAGAGGGGAAAATCTTGAATTTTGAAGAACTTAAAAGAAATTAAGACACCTCAGAAGTCGGGAAAGCTCATTTCCCGCCTTCTAGGAATCAAAATTTTCCCGGGGGAGAACCCCGGACCCCCTCCATTTTCTTTGGAGCTTATCGATTCATTGAAAAAAGAATACGTATGCAACTACTAATTTTTTTATGTATGTATCAGGCCTATTTACTGTAATAAGAATGAGAAAGTTTACCTGACCGTTTTCAAGAGGGGGAAAACCTTGATTTGAAGAACAAAGTCATTAGACACCTAGCTCAAAAGTGGAGAACGGTCATTTCCCGCCATCTAGAAATCAAAATTTTCCCGGGGTAGGACCCCCGGATCCCCTTTCGTTTTTGGGAAAAACGTTGACCCCACCCCCTAGGTTTGACTCCAGATCTGCATATTGATTCATATTCCCATTCATCTTATAAGTGGCCCCACTTTGATAAACGTTCCGCCGGCTCTGACTTTATCATCGGTAGCCCATCCGGTACTCCATAATCTTTTAAAGTATAGGCCTACCTCTGTCGGGACCTGTTTAGTGGCCAACACATCACTCTTCATTCCGATTATTTCATGGAGTTATAATAATCCATGGTATTCTAATAGCAACGTTAGTTAAACGCATCTTTTACTTAATTGGTTACCCCCGGGTAAAAGGTTAAAATCACAACCTGTAGAACAAATAGATAGGCCTATCTAACTTATTCGTACACCACTAGGCCTATCCATTAAAATGATTCTTAATCAAAATACAATATCAAATAGGTTTTAGGGTATGATTATAATTATATTGTTGTTGTTGTTGTTTTGTATTAATCCTGCACTTTGTTTTGCGATGTGATGTAGACCTACCAACTGATTTAGTTTCCGAAAAGACACAAATAAAGGATCTTGAATCCATGATGGGATGGGTTATTTTATCTCAAAATCTGAGTTCCTAGAATTTTGATAGTGATTTTAGTCTAGTTAGTTGCAAAGACCTATATTTTTAAAAATTTAATATATGTAATTTTTAATGAATTTGAATGATTTTTGTGTATATCTTTTATGCTATGAGTATTTTGATGGTCTTCAAAAAATAAATGAAATGAAAGGATAGAATTTTGGTTACGCATCAAGATCGAAGGCGCGCTCGGGGAATTCCCTAATGCATGCTGTAATGATTCCAAATCAGAATTGAAGCGGATCGTCGAGAGATAGGCCTAGGCTATATAAATACACTGATGCAGTATTGTAAATGAACATTGCATGCTCCTTCACTTTAAAATTAGTATTAACATTGCTTTCCCTCCAAGACGTAAGTACTTAAAATCACGTAGGCATAGAATTACAAAGATTGGGGAGATTAAATTAATTGAGCACACAGATATTATTATTAGAGGCCTAGCCAAGCCAGGCCTCTAAAAAATCGCCAGGCTGCCTAGCTAGAGTAGTAGTATAGGTCTAGGCCTACGATTTCAAAAGGTCACCCTGGCTGGGGACCAGGCCTAGCCTGTATAGTGGCAGTGTACTGACGAGCATAGCCTAGCCTTTTAAGATGATGTAACTCTGAAGTCTCAACTTAGGGATTTAGTACTGTAGTGTGATGCAGGCACGTCCCTTCTGGCTGGGACATCCAACAATGAATTCAGCAATGAATGTCAGACCTCAGTGCTTACTTTTTAAGAAGTCATTTTACCAGTCCTACTGTATGCCCTAACGCGGTCACTATCGGACTGTTGGCACCAGGATTTGCTGACAAGTCAGAGATGTACAAATTGTCCAACTCCCACCACAAATCACTTGCAAAATTTTTTTTCAAGTATTTGTGAAAGTACCGCATATTCAGTACGATAACATGTCAGGTAGCATCATTTCTTACCATTTTAACACTAAAATAATTTGCAAATGTGATATCAAACACCACACAAATAAAAGTACCGCAGGCCTCCCAAGAATTTAATGATTCACAGAGATTATGGGATTTATGTGGTTAGCACACTCCATTAATCACGCGCCACCCCGTACCTATAAATTTTACATACAGTTACTGGTATACTCGTCTGTAGCTAGTACATTACTGTAAGTAAAAAGCATTGGTCAACTGATTAAATATCATCTAGTTCCTTGTCTCTGTGTGGAGAATAGGGCTTCTAGCATCTCTCCTCCAGGCTCCTCTGTCTTGAGCTGCTACTGCTGCCTCCGACTGCCCACGATTGGTATCCCTGTTGGTTTCTTTCCTTTCCATATTTCTTCTCCAATTTTCCCTTGGCCTTTCCTTCTGCCCTCTGGTGTCCATGTTAAAGCAACTCTTGGTATGTCATTTCTTTCCATGCGTAACACATGTCCAATCCACTTCCATCTCCTGTTTCTTACGATTTCAGTAATGGTTTGAATGTTTGCCCTGTGTCAACTGATTAAATATAGCATAGTTTATGTGTAGATATATTTGAACCAATGACTAGATTTGATGGAGCAGCTCTATTTGTTTACAGGTTGGCCACATGGATTCTGAACAAGAAACCACCACACAGACCATGGAAAGTTTGGACTGTGCCTCCATGGATACTGACGTCATAATGTCCAAGCAGGAAATGGGAGGTTGTGTTATTATTGGTTGATTCCAATTTCAGAATAAATCTATCATTGAAAAATATTAATTGTTGCAGTTTACAAACCTCTTTTCCGGCTTTTTTTTAGAGCCATTCCACTTAATAAATAGGAAATTGTAAAAAAAAAAGTAATTAAATATGGTAAAAAAATGATATAGTAATGAATAATAAATTATTTTTAAAGGATAATGAAATAATTCCAAAGTAACTAAAAGATTACAGAAATCATATGGTGTGGCAAATAGGCAGAAAGATCTATGGAGACCACCTTAGAACACCCTAGATAAAGAACAATAAAACAAACATAGTTTTTTTCTTTCCTGTAGAAGTATGTATGTGCATATACATCAGTTGTAAATGTAATTAGTGACCACTAGGGAAAATCAAAATTCAATATTGGGTCTAAAAAATCCCAAGATTGCTTTTAAAAACCCAAGATTCGCATAATATTAGTACTGTATATAAACTTCATTTAAAAGTCCTTCATTTTAAAGCTTTTTCAATGAATCATATTCTGTACAGTATTTTGTACCTGTCTCTTATACACATCTAGAGAAACTCGTTCGCTTTGGGCCATACTATTAGAAAATTTGAAAAACTATTACTCTGTGTGTCCGTGGAAAATCCTTTTTGGTGATTAAAACGTGATATCCTTTCCTCTGGCATTGTATGTTAGGCCAAAAGTTTGAAGTTTGTGCGCAATTTCACCCATTCGATATTAACAAATTTAGTACTTCACACAGTACATTAGGCCTACCAGGCCTTATTATATAAAAGGGCATAATCGATCTTTACAGAGTGTCTAATTGATCTGTCAATTTTATACCAGAGGGGCCTACAGTATTGCATAGGAGTATTTAACAATAAGAAAATTGGGAAAACAGTTTCCTTTGAAATTTACTTAAGCGAGTGTATATGAAACCGGGTCTATGGCAACTATAATTTGATACTACGGTTAGAAGTGTAGAGATACGGAGCTATTAAAAACTGTTGCATTCTAAATGATTACAAGATGACCAAGCATATGAATGAATCAGTCTAAAATGATATTCAAAGATATTACACTGTACAGCTAACCGCTAATGTTTGTTTTGCATGTCTATTACACACCGTCACTCACAAACGTATGCAAAAATTGGTCCTAAAATTTGAAAAGTTGACCATTAAAATCTATTGTAAAAATTTATTTAAATCCGTACACCGATTTTGTTTCAAGTTGTTTGTTTTCAATATTATAGCTGTTTCTTTACGATGACAATGTTTTGAAATCGTACTGTATAACACTCCAAAATTTGTTTTATGGGCAAACAACAGAAGGCTCTAAATTTTTAGAAGTTGACCAAGCGTGTTGCTGCATCATTATTTTTCAGTTACGATCACTATTCAGGTAGAGAGCAGCTGTTTCGTTACCGGTTGGTACATTTCTTACAAACATTCAGCCAAAGGCCATTGAAAGATTTTATCGATGTTTGCCATGATCCTTATGTGAGCTATCGAGTCATGGTTTACCGGAGTTGCGTTCAATTTAAATCTCCGAACTTCTGAAGCTGAGATATTCTAGAATGTAGGCTTGTATTGTAGGCTACAATTTAAAAACGGGTGACCAAATAATGAATTAGGTGCTAAATTTTGATTTAAAGTTAAAAACAGACATTCCGTCCGAGTGGGACTCATTCAAAAATTCTAGGGGGTTCGCTAGAAAACAGGGGGGTTCGCTAGAAAAGGGGGGTTCGCCCGAACCATAAAAACCCCCCCTGGCTACGGGCCTGTTTCCTTTCCACATTTCTCCAATTTTCCCTTGGCCTTTCCTTCTGCCCTCTGGTGTCCATGTTAAAGCAACTCTTGGTATGTCATTTCTTTCCATGCGTAATACATGTCCAATCCACTTCCATCTCCTGTTTCTTACTATTTCAGTAATGGTTTGAATGTTTGCCCTGTGTCAACTGATTAAATATAGCATAGTTTATGTGTAGATATATTTGAACCAATGACTAGATTTGATGGAGCAGCTCTATTTGTTTACAGGTTGGCCACATGGATTCTGAACAAGAAACCACCACACAGACCATGGAAAGTTTGGACTCAAACTGTGCCTCCATGGATACTGACGTCATAATGTCCACGCAGGAAATGGGAGGTTGTGTTATTATTGGTTGATTCCTATTTCAGAATAAATCTATCATTGAAAAATATTAATTGTTGATGTTTACAAACCTCTTTTCCGGCTTTTTTTAGAGCCATTCCACTTAATAAATTATGACGTCAGTATCCATGGACTCAAACTGTGCCTCCATAGATACTGACGTCATAATGTCCACGCAGGAAATGGGAGGTTGTGTTATTATTGGTTGATTCCTATTTCAGAATAAATCTATCATTGAAAAATATTAATTGTTGCAGTTTACAAACCTCTTTTCCGGCTTTTTTTTAGAGCCATTCCACTTAATAAATAGGAAATTGTAAAAAAAAAAGTAATTAAATATGGTAAAAAAATGATATAGTAATGAATAATAAATTATTTTTAAAGGATAATGAAATAATTCCAAAGTAACTAAAAGATTACAGAAATCATATGGTGTGGCAAATAGGCAGAAGGATCTATGGAGACCACCTTAGGACACCCTAGACAAAGAACAATAAAACAAACAAGAACGTTTTTTTCTTTCCTGTAGAAGTATGTATGTGCATATACATTAGTTGTAAATGTAATTATTCTTCAGTACAGTGGCTGAAGTAATGTGCAATGTACATGACACAACACACAATTGTATTAATAGTATTGTATCAATTGAAAGCTCTTAAACTAAACTAATATTTAGTAGTTCTTTGTTTTCCAATTCTTGACAGTGTGTTAGATGGCCATTTAGCAAGATACTAAGTATAGTATAAACCTGGCTGTATTCAACCAGTTTAAGACCATTAATACCTCAGCACTTTGGATTCACTGCTCATCTTTGAAGAACACTCTAGTGTTTTTTTTTTTAGTATTTTGAATAAGCAATTTAATTTATTCATTCTTTTTTTCAAGAATGTGATGAAAATACGCAAGAAAACATCAGCTCGAAAGAAACTGAACCAGAAAAACTTATCCAATGTGAAAAAAAGGAAACAAGTGAAAGTAAAAGAAGAAAACAAGATAAGTTTGAAGATGGGGAAGAAAAGGAGGTAAAAATGTTAGAAGATGAAAATGATGATACCAAAGAGCAAACCATTGAACATAAAATGAGAAAACAAACTGAAGCTGAAGATGCAAAGGAAAAGGAGAAAGAGAACCATTTAAAAGATGATAAAGAAGAAGAGGAGAAAATGTCAGAAGGTGAAAATGATGATACAAAAGAGCAATCCAATGAAAATGAAAAGAAAAAGCAGGCTGAAGCTGAAAATGTGAAGGAAACAAAGGAAGAAAAAATTTTTAAAAATGATAAAGAAGAGGATAAAATGTCAGAAGATGGAAATGATGATACAAAAGAGCAATCCAATGAAAATGAAAAGAAAAAGCAGACTGAAGCTGAAAATGCAAAGGAAACAAAGGAAGAAAAAAATTTTAAAAATGATAAGGAAGAGGATAAAATGTCAGAAGATGGAAATGATGTTACAAAAGAGCAGTCCAATGAAAATGAAAAGAAAAAGCAGACTGAAGCTGAAAATGTGAAGGAAACAGAGAAAGAAAAAAATTTAAAAGATGATAAAGAAGAGGAGAAAATGTCAGAATATGGAAATGATGATACAAAAGAGCAATCCAATGAAAATAAAAAGAGAAAACAAACTGAAACTGAAGACATGAAGGAAACAGAGGAAGAAAAAAAATTAAAGGATGATAAAGAAGAAGAGGAAAAAATGTCAGAAGATGAAAATGATACAAAAGACCAATCAAATGAAAATAAGAAGAGCAAACAAACTGAAGATATAAAGGAAGAGGAGAAAGTACATAATTTAAAAGATGATGAAGATTTAAGTGAAGAAGAGAAATTTGAGGAGATAAAATTTCCAGATACTCTGGAAGGCTTCAATTATAAATTTAATTCAGGTTTGCTTTCATGTTGATCTTTTCTTTATTATGAGGTTTGCCACTGTCTCTTATACACATCTAGATGTGTATAAGAGACAGGTAATTAAATATGGTAAAAAAATGATATAGTAATGAATAATAAATTATTTTTAAAGGATAATGAAATTCTGTTGAATTACCTTGCAGTGACTAAAAAAAGAAAATTTTAATATATTCGTATTCTCCACATTATAAGCTTTAAAATGATAGTTTTTTTTAATTTAAATTGATTTATTTTCTTTAAATTAAGAGTGATTTGATTTATAGTTCTCATATACATTGGTCTATTATCTATTTTTAATTTATTTGATTATTTTATTTAGGCTATTTTATTCCCTTTGTTGTTTTAATGTCTTTTTTGCCTATTGTTTTTTAATCTTGCTCATTCATTTACATCTTTAATTGTAATTTAATTTTAATTTTTATATTAAGTTTTTTATTTAATTTTGAATTAATTCTTTATGTAAATTTTGAATTGAGAGGTTGTTATTTATTTTACTGTAATTTAATTAGTTTAATACACTCTTTTGTTTTGTTTTACTATGTGTATTGAGGGTCCCTAATGATCAGCTTTGGCTGGATGGCCCACCCTCATTAAAGATTGTTGAAATAAATAAATAAATAAATAGTTAATCGACTTAAATTTGCCATATGAGCAAATATGATGAAGAAACTTAAGTAAGTATTACCAAAGTATACAGTATTGCCACATTCTTATGCTATTTACTCAGTTTAACATTATAGCAACAGTATGCTGGCTTTTCGATGGCATATCTCAAATGTTATGTGTGTGATCTAATCAAATCTAAGATAAATTCTGATTAAAAAATGAAACCAATCATCATTTTATTGTAATCAGTGAAGCGGTTTTTATTATCTAATTTAATTTTTTGTCACAATGTCCCAAGTAAGGCAAAAACATATAAAAATGTGTTTGGTACTCTCAAATTTAATTATTAAAACTTACAAAGTTAAAATCTGCTAGTATTTGGGCTTTGGTAAAAATATATTTTTCAAACAAAAGAAAGCCAACCCTGCATTTTGAAGATGTATTATGGGTTGGTTTGCACTATGCAAAGTGTATTTTTCTACATATTAATATAGTAGATGCATTAAATAATGGTGGTTTATTCATATAAGATGCATATTAGTCATTAAATTCTAGAACAGAACTTCCATCTACTAATACAAAAAAAAAAATATTCTCGGTAGGTCTGGCTGTCTGCTCTCTTTGAAATGTGAAACAATTTCGGTAGATGTAGAAAATTGAAAATAATGATTTATCCACCTACACATCTTAAATGCAAAGGAAAAAATATATATAAATATATAAACTATGTATAGTGAAAATGGTTTATAATTTTCTTTATGATTTTCATTATTATTCTATTATTGTTCATTATTATATGTATATTTATATATCTTTTGAAAATACGTTTTCACATGTTGGCTATTTTATATAAAATATTTGTAATTTATTATAATTTGTCTTATTGATAAATTATAACAATTAATTTAAAGATTATAATAATAATTAAAAATTCTAAATAGATGGTCAACTTCGAGATACAGAAACCGATGAACCATTCCAGTTTGTTATAAAGCCTGATGATCACTACTATAACCAGAAACGTTATGAAGCCCTTGGAGAAATTCTGAACAACCATGTCTATGATTTGTTGGAATCGGAATGCAATTTGAAAAGAATCCCAGTTCCTGTGAGTATATCATAAAAGTAGTAGTACCCAGTGGTGGATCCAGGAATTTGAAATAGAGGGGGCCCAGGGAGGAACTGTGAGAGATGAAGAGTCTGTACCACCTCAGCCCCACCAAGGTTGGGGCTGAGGTAAGAAAATTTACTATTATTTCACCTTTAGTAGGCCAGAAAATTGCACTCTCAGACTTAAAATTTTAATTTAATTTTCTTTTTCCCCCAATTTTGAGAAATTTAGGGGGTCTTGGGCCCCCCTTGAATCCGATACTGGTAACTATAATTCTAAGACAACAAGCCAATTCATAGTTCAAACTGTGCATGCCTGTATCCAAGGGAAGTCAACATAATCCTATGTTGTGTATGTTTGTTGATTGATCTTGATATAGCCATGCGCATTTCAAACTTTGAATTGTTGTCTTAGAATTATATTTTTGTTTTCATTGAATTATTTATCTGTTAATTGCCACTGCTAGTTTCACATGAACCTACATATAATGCCACTTCTGGAAGCCCACACATTTTTTCTATTAACTTCTGTTTTCTTCTGCAGTACCTGTCTACCACCACTGTTCTCTTCCAAGTGTCACCTGCCGCTTTTGCAAATATAACCTGTAACCAGCCCAAATTTCCATACCCTCTAACTAATTACGATCTAATTTGTGTGGCATCTATTTGTAGGTGACAGTATAAAAATGTATGGGCCACCTTCACCTTCGGTCAATCAAATCATCATTTTTTCAAAAATTATTTTATATATTTTTATCATACTTTTCAAAGCTTGACACAGACAAAGATGCTGTTAAAGGAGAGCCAAAGAGCTTTGTGTTTGCCAGCGAAAATGCTCTTACGACTACAGGCAAGTTGATGATATTGATTCATGGTAGTGGCGTCGTCCGTGCGGGACAGTGGGCCAGGAGGCTCATTATCAATGATTGTCTGGACAGTGGAACACAAATACCTTATATTAAAAGAGCAAAGGAGGTAATACTGTAATAAATTGCAGTTTTCTTATTTCCTAATGCCACAAGCTTTGGTTCAAACTGTGTATTCATGTGGAGTTTTATTCCAAACTTAGAGAAAAAAAAAAAAAAAAAAAAAAATATATATATATATATATATATAAATATGAATGATTTTTTTTTACCATTTTATAGCTATTATTTTACTCTCTAACACTGTATTAATAACTCAAAATTGATTTTTGTGACGAGTGACTGGTTTTGCTTGTCTTTGCCACATATATAATAATGATTGCGGTACATGATGCGATAGAGATATTTAGAGATGTTCTCAACCAACAACTCTAATTCTAAGACTACCACCACCTGTAGTGGTGGCAGATTGCTATAAAACAGTCTTCCCTAAGACTGCTTTGAGCATCGAAACGCAAACAAGCACTCTCTGGTAACGTAAAATTGAGGGCGACGTAATGCATGCTCGATGCACGCAAATGTATTAAAATGAACGTAAATAAACGTAGACCTGTTTTGACAGATGTTGAGAAGCGTGTGGAATATTCGTCATTGTATTCTCCGACTTTGACGATTTAGGTCTTGCCATTGCACTGTTGAATCAGCAGAACGCCATAATGAAAATGATTCAAGACCGTTTTAAGCCTCCTTCGATTAGGCTTTAAAATTTAAGACGGCTAATGTCACGATTATAGCCGGCTAACCATTAAGACCGCCTAAGACCGCTTATAGCAATTTGCCCCAGTTCTTTTCAGAACTATTTACTTGATGTACAGTACCGCAAGCATTAATACTTCGCCATGCAAACCTTCAAACGATATATATGAATACTTGCACCTAGAAATGTAGTGTGAAACACTTCACAACTGTCGACAGTGCAAGCTGGGGTACTGTATATAAGGCTGGCTGACCGAGAATGTTGAGTGTGTGGCTCAAATTTGTGAGGTTCAGAACCTGAATGGAAATTGCTGCACCAAACCGCCCTCTTGGAGTTTATCCTCATTTGGAATAAACTGAGGATTCACTGTGATACAGAATCCTGGGAAGAGCAACATTTCTACTGAATTTCTTTATGAAAATTTCTCTTGTAATATAATATTTCCACTGCTACCTGGGGGTCAAATTCAACCTTACTGATTAGAGCACAGTGTGGAGGCAAGCACCTAGGTTCAAAAATAAAGTTGAAAATTTGTTTCGTCTTTTAGATTTAAATGGAACAAAAATATGGCTTACTCATTAAAAATGTTTTCTAATATTTGATAATGAAAAATATGAATCATTGTGTTTTTTGTACATAGGAAGGATATGAAGTTCTTGTGTTAAACACGAATGAGAATGAAAGTAAAGATGGACAAGAAATAAGGGTGAGTCATAGAGTTATTCTAAGAATACTATGCTTGACATGTATGTTTTATCTCCATCATATCTGCCAACTAATGGGCATAGGTGGGGCTGGGGCTGGAGGGGGTGTGTGCAGGGATGCGAACACCACCACCCCAACCCCCATGGCAGCAAATTAGTTCTGCTAAGTGGGTTAAAATATTAAAAATGAAAATTAAGTTTTCATTGAAATAGGGATTTAGTTCCGGCATTCTCGGATTTTGTTTCTCACCCTCTAGTCCAAAACCAGCCTACACCGCTGCAACTTGCACTAGACCTCCCTTGTGGAAGGAATAGCTGGAGCAGCGTCACTTCACTGCAGTGGTGGATTGAAGCCTAAGGGTAATGAAAAATGAAAATTACAATGATAATTTTGTTTTTGTCTTTCAGGGAAGTGAAACACCGGTCAAACATGCCTTATATGTTTTTCAGCACTTACTCAAGCAAACAGCGCCTTCTAAACATATTGCTATTGTTGCTCATAGTTATGGCGGGTGTGTTGTGTTAAGTCTTGTAAGTGTGTTCTCAAAACTCTCTCTACATATTCTTTAGAGAAGCTGTGTAAAAAGAATAATAATGGTGCACAAGATTGCTTTAGGTTAGCATTAAAAAACTACGGAAATACAATATTGCAGATGTATCCCCCCTACCCACCACACACCAAATTATGCTGTTTTCGGGAGTGGGGGTTGTACAAGAGCAATTCTCTGTTTATAAAATAAATTATTTCAACTTTATTGTGGCCAATATAAAGGCAATTTTCCAATTCCAAGCTACTTTTTAGGATTTTTTTTTTAGTGACTTAAGCTTACTTATTTAATTACTGTATACCTTAATGCTTTTGACTGAGATAAAGTAGAGATGGGCTTATACCCATGAATTATGGTAATTTCAAACATATATATTATGGTTGAGGTTCATCTGCAACATCTATGGATATGTGGTTTGCACGTGATAATACAAAGATATACCACAATGTGCATATAGATAATACAGTGGCACTATACAAAATGCATACTTATAGTTATATATTTTAGACAAACAATAAAATAATCAACTAATAATAATAAAAATAAAATTAAGAACTATCATATAATTTCATACAAGGTGTGTGTCTCACAGGCAGTCAGAGAGACCTAGAATTTAATCTTTAGGATGAATGCCACAATTCCTCTAGGCTCATAAACCATTTTAACCTAGGGGATTGTCTCCCGGTGTACCGCTCAATCACCACCAGAAGGACCCCACTGGAGTCTTCTTCTAGACTTTTGTTGGCTATCCTTGGTGTTTACACCGAATAAATTCAGTCCAATCCAATCCAACCTATCACATTATATCTAACTTTTCTAATATATATATTATTATATCTAATATTTTTTTTGAATCTTGAAACATTCCAGATTGAAAAGAATTTATTAGATAAGTCAGTGTTTGCAATTGCGTTTACTGACTCTGTTCACCAGCTCCAGTACCAATTGAACAGTCCAATGCACCAGTCTTGGCTTATTCAGGTAATGTACAGCTCCCGCAATTTTTAGTGGTGCAAGTTAAAAAGTAACATTTATATTTTATTTCCTTCACATTCAATTTTATCTCAGTTGCCCACTGCATTGCAAAATGTAATGCTTTATAAACTAATACTGTACTCAATATACACGAGAAAAACATGTTAGACGGATGGATGCTGAATAATACACATACTTCCCCGAGATATTCTGATTAAAATCACCGTCATCTTCACATGAGTGAAATTAATTTAACGTCGGTAAATGTCTGTACAGTTGACAGAGACGGATTCAGAGGTCCCCGCTGGCTCTAGAAAGGGTGTCTTTTTTTTAACTGGCACTAAATGCAATCAGGGTCAGTGCTAATGAACAGAAATTTTGTCTCAAGTTGGAACAAAACAACTTCTGCTTAAAATGGTATTTCTTAAAAGATCTACTTTGATTTTTCTGCACATGGTGATTAATTCATATTTTATATAATTAAATTTATGTCATGAAAATTTTTTGTTCATCCTGAGACCATAGAAAAGCACATCAAGTTGAGACACATACTTGCACATATTTATTTTATATCTAAATAGCGGGCTAGAAATTGGGTGTCCTGTGACAAGGAACTTGATGAAAAACTACAATTTTTGTCGTATAAAAGAGATGTCGATCGTTATTCAGCTGGTAAGTTGAATTGAACCCTACCTTCAATCATGCTAACAATTTTAACTTTTTTTAGCATTCTCACCACTCCATGGGTGACAATACCTCATTCTCCATTCCTTATTCTCATCTTCACCTCTACATTCTTCATAAATGATACTCCACCTTGCCTCTGTTTCTCATACTTTACACACCATTTATTATTCAATTTACAGGTACGACAAAACATGAAGAGACGTCATGGAAAGCAATGGAGTCGATCTTTGAATATTTAAAGACTAAAGAACCCAAACAATTGCAGAAAAAGAAACCAGTAGCTACCAAAAATGTGGAATCAAAGGAAGTTGACACCAAGGAGGAAAAACACGAGGAGCAAAATCCTAAGAGAAAAAAGTCTGATGAGAAAAAATGATAGATTATAAATCTTAAAATTTGTGAATATTTTAATTGGCATGTCATCAAATGACAGATGTGAGGTCGACAATTTGTTCATGTTTGCTTAATCACCTAATTGAGTCACTAAACTATTATTAGACTCAAGTTTATTTTTGTTTGTTTTTTTTAATTCACAAGGCTCTTGAAGCTACTACTGTACTAAGTAAAAGGGTACTGTACATAATAGGTTTGTAGCTGTAGACAGCTAAGGGAGGGTGATAGATATTATAAGGGTATGTGAGTGGTAAAATTGGTGAACTCTTAAACAGTAAGAGCTAAAGGAACTTTTCGTTGATGAGCTATGCTTGATACGATTATTACAACATGTTCATAACCATAATTTGTTTGTATGAAAGTACCTGTGGGTTAGATTTGTGCCTATACCATATGGTCTAGTGGTATGGTACTCGCCTTGATAGCGAGAGGCTGCAGTTTCGGATACTGGCAGAGACACTTTATTATACAATGAAAAAGGATCTTTTTGTTGGAAGGGCTATACAATTATAACACATTTTTACTATTACCAGCATAGCCTAAATCTAAGATGAAATGGCACATAATTAATTATGGTTATATGATTGCCCCTGCTAAGGACCTTGCACCCTCACTAATTTGATTGTAAGAGGTCATTATTTTGTAAAGTAAAAAAAACTTGTGTGGTAAATTTGTTGCATGAACATTCACCGTTGTTTTATAATCTAAAGATCAATGCCAGAGTATTGATAATATTGTAACTGAATTCATCTTTTCATGAAGATCATTTTTAATGAAGAACACTATCAATATTCAAAATAAATTAGTAAATTACAAATGCATTATTTTAACGTATGTTGTTTAATGACCAGAAGTGTATTAAATACATTTTGTAAACACATGACATATAGTATCCCTCAGAATGTCATTGAGAGATTGACATGAGCTAAAACCTCTGTAAAACTGGATTTTAAACACAGATAGATGATAAGTCTAAAGTGCTATATGTTAAGAGTTGGGTGTCTACAAAAACACAGATATCAGGGGCGGATCCAGGATAGATCTGCTGGGGTTACACCTACAAGGACCTTGGGTCTGAGGGAGGAGGGGTATACCCCCACCCCGATTGGCTGGGGGCCGCCAAGGGCCCCAGGAAGCTTTGCATTTACCACATATCAAAACAACTTTGGACGGTTTAATAAAGGAAGCAAATACAGTTGTATTGTCAGCATTGTTGGTATTTACTTGCATAGACACAGTAATATGATGCACTGGGCAATGAACAATACTAGATGGTAGGCCCATTTTTCGAGTATCTAGATACCGGTAATCAAACAAAACATAAAAAATGGTCCTTAAATCTGGCTATTAACCATCTATGTATGCAGCATCTGCATTTAAAATGATATAAATGAACTTTTATACCCTTTTTTGAGTATTTGATCACTAGTATATTAAAATGATAAAAAACTTGACTATTAATATAAACGATAGACCTACACGATACAATATATGATATTTGCATTTTGGTATTCGATCTACTGATTGAAAAACGTTCCAAAAGACAAATCGGCGTCGGGGATATAATGTGTTCGTGTGAATTGAGCAGAAAAGTGAATACTTTCTGTCGGTGATTTTCTTGAACAATGTAAAGATGTAATTATCATTGTTATTTAGTTTAATTATTAATAATTATTATTATTATTATTATTATTGTAGTTGTTATCAAACTTAGGCCATAGGCCTAGTTATTTTTTTCTTTTAATATTTTTAAAAGAGGGCGTGGCGGCTGCCAATGATGGGGGACGAGCGGCCACTTCTCCCCTGCTAGAGACCTGCCACTCAGTGCAGATATCTGAGTTTTAAAACTAGGAAACTGAGATCTGAGTTTCTAGATCTGAGTTTTTAGACACCCTGTAAGAGTCGATTGAATTGGCCTACAACAATGAGTTATTTCCCACGAGTCCAGATTTCACGAGGGATGGTTAGTCGGAAGAGACCAGATGCCCAGTCCTGATGAGGCTAATTAAAGAAAGGCCTACGTTTATGCTTCAACAATATAATTAATTATTGGGGTTGTTACATTTTATATACTTTTGTAGTAAAACATGTTCAAATTACTTTAGTGGTTTAATTGGATTTGTGTATGTTTCCACAGACTGTTTACATTTAATATATTTCTTTATTCATTTTAAATGCCCTACAAAATATTGCAATAACATAAAAATATTTATAAAACATTTAAGACAGATGGGGAACACAGACCATCAACCGCTAGCCCCTACGGATACAAAAACACTGAAAAAGTATAAAGGAAAAAACGAATATAGGCCTATCCTTAGAGTTCAATGTATACTGCTTCCGAATAAGGTACGCAGTGACGTCGTTTGAAGGCCTACTTGGGGAGGGAATTCCAAGCTATCAAGACTCTGTTAAAAAATGAAATTTGAATATACCAGGGAGTTGTTATTTCGATACCTTGGGCGGATCCAGCATTTTTCAAACGGGGGTGCAGGGGCATAACGTACTCAGAATAGATAAGTGAGTAGCGGTAATTAGCGCAATTTTCAATATATGCATTGAAATTAAATTTTACATGCCTCCTACTGGATACGATGAGTCCCTGAACATAAAATCGAGAACGAGGAATTAGGCCTATCATGAGATGCAAAGCAAGAACAATATATGTAAAGATATATAAGAATCATGAATTTCGATTTCACCCTCCCCCATGTAAAAGAGGATGAGATCACTGTTTCTCCTTTCAAGTGTCTCAATTTCAGTCTTCAAAGATGGTCGTCACAGAAACATTCATAGTTATAAATAGCATACTGGTTAATTTGCTCGTTACATTTAGGCTAAATATTATGGTGATTTAGAAACATGCGAGATTCAGTGCCAGGGGCGGATCTAGAATTTTACAAACGTTGGGGGTGGGTAAGCACATAATATTATATGCATTGAAATTTTTAAAAATTAGTGTTAGCACGTGCCCCCCCCCCCCCCTTACTGGATCTGCCCTTGAGTTCTCACAGGATTTCAAACCAGGGATCAAGCGAGATTTTGACTAGGCCAGTTTTGAATGTGTGAGCAAAATCAATATCTGGTTGAAGACTCGGTGATTAGAAAATTAGAAGTGTCTGTAGATTCTTATAAAACGATATAAATACGCAATTTTGTAGTGGTACACTGAGGAGGGACTCATAGGGATATGGATATACTCTGTGCGAATCGCAAAAAGGAAAAACTTGCACGTTAATCATATTCATAGGCTTATCTTCTTTTTATCTCTACTTTATTAGTAATTCCAATTATGGATATGACTGTATCTCTCGATGGTAGCGTTATCATTTTATTATATTCAATTAAAATTAACAAAAAAACGACTTGCCAAACACAATTCTTTGGATTATAAGCTACATTTTTTAAAAGGTTAGGCTTATTCGCTTTCAATTAAATACTGTATAAGCCTGCAATAATTTCATGCAAAACATTCTCCCCAATAGGCCTAACTGGTTTTTTTTTTCGCGACTGTGAAAAA